ATCATGTCGGGGTAGCTCATCGAATGCACTTGACAACTGCTGGTAGAATTCATCCTTATCATTATCTGAAGCCCCCTCAGTTGGCGCATATGCCACAACAACAGAGATGTTCAGGTGTTGACTATGCAGCCTTGCACTCAACAAACGGTCAGATATTGGTAGATAGGAAATTAATGAATTTTTAGTCCTCTTTGAAAGGGTAAGACCGACACCTCGCCTTCTTATACCGTCCGTCCTCCCTGAATAAATAAGTAAGGAGCCATTATCCAGTAGCTCTGATCCTGTACCAGGCATATGGGTCTCAGTTATACCCAGCAAGTCCAACTTATACTCAGAGATATTCTCTGATAGCTGGAACAACTGACTTGAACTACTTGTCAGAGATAATACATTCCATGTCCCAAATGTAAGACCTGTTTTAGAATAATTCGCTGGCTGTTTCTTATTAGAGTCGGAGTCCACATGGATGATCTGTGGAGAAATAAATCTGCTACAATGACGTGTTCTCCCAACACTCATCTGGCCACGGGGGTCCCTTAGGCTTTGCCCCGCCACCTTCATACTGGTATCATCCGTCCTTGCAGAGGGAGCCACACACCGTTTCTTGTTGTTACTTTGTGATGTTTCTGCAGCAAATGTTTAGAGAGGAAAAGTTGCCAGCATCTCGCACCCGGTTTTTTATCGACCTTTGCCTGTCTAGATCCATAGTGTTTTGTTGCACGTCATCTGTTTAAACTGGAGTCACCCAGGACAGATTACAAAGCTTAATAGTAGCACCTCGAAAAGGATGTGATTCTTCATCACGCACTATGGTCATTGGAATAGGAGAGGTTATAGGTGACACGATCACTATTCCCTGAGATTAAAAATAATCTCTTGCCACCAAATAATCTCTTGCCACCAGAGGTTATATATTATGAAAATCATCATTGCAAAAATAAAACCCAGTCCATGGGACTGAAAAAATTAGTTGACTTTCGATTCGAAAGAGTTAAATTCTAAATCATCCATGTTAGATAATTCGTAAGTTTTGTTTGAGGTATTTCTTGATCCTCTAATACACAATAAAATTAATTTCCTAATTAAAAAAGATAATTTACACCGATAAAAATTTATAATATCGTTGTAATTCTGCTTTTTCTTATAAGCAAGTTTGTTGCAAAGCAGTTTTTCAAATGTCCTGGCTTGGGGTCCCATGCCACCAGAATAAATTAATGGAGCGAATGATCCGTGCTCTACATTAAGTATTCTCTCATTGTAGCATCGTGATTTCTGTTTCTCGGCGTTCTCCATGGTCTTCTTTGTCGAATGTTGAAGGTAGGAATTAGAATTAGGATTAATTACCTTAACATCGAAAAAAGCCATTTGGCCCGGCCTATAGAAACCACGAGCTCTTATATCGGGTCTTGCCTGGTCACCCGTAAGTGTTGATGACCTCGTGAACTGCTCTCCTTCTAGTTCTTGAAGCTGAGGTTCAACTTCCACGTCCGAGCAAACACTCTTCAGCAAGCCAGCTAAAAAATCCCTAATCTCGTTGTGTCTGATAATGATGTAGCCACCAAGATGGCAATTTAGAGAATGGTTCACATCAAACGTTTTTCCACATGGACAGTGTGAAGGTAAACGATCCAGATCTAAGTTATACCGCAATCTGATAGAATCCCTAAATTCAGATTTATTTAGAACGAAACCATGTTTTCTTAGTGGTAGACATGAGAGCCAATTTGAGCTCCCTGGTTCGCTAATCTGCTCCAAAACCCTTGCAGTCTTCTTGTCAACCTTTTTAAGTATCTCCTCTTGTTGTTCTTTATATTCCAAAACACGCTGTTTTAACATATCTTGAAGCTCATCTCTCGATTCCGTGTCAGTTGTAGCAAGAGATTTTCCTTTCATGGAATTTACCAGTCCCCGGGTTACCAAAAGCGATGCAGCATGTTCTCTTTTCGCTAGATACTCCAACTGTGGCATTCCCATACCTCCGTTCTTTAATGGTAATGACATAAGCTCTCGGTGTATAGGAGATACTGGACAACCAAATATAGTTGGAATAAGCTCATGAGTGATTATTTTGTCAAGAGGGCCCATATAAGAGCTGATATATAATGTCCTCATAAAATATGTAAATTTGTGGCGGACACCGTGCGTAAAACAAGCATAGGCTGCCTGAGGCTGTGATTTGGCAAACTGTACTAACTTTTTTAGCATATCACTCCACTCAACTACAAGGTTGTTAATGTAGGTATCCTTGAATTCAGGCGTCCCCAGCACAGCTCCTAAATGCCTTTGACCATCTATTCTGATATCTATATTGCAATCGGAAAATATTTCCTGAGCTGTATGTAAATGTTCAGGATTTTTCAGGATGTGGGTTTAAATATGTCGTGTGTCCTTCCTTCCGTTCGTTACCATGCAACGAAAAAGTTGGGCGCGCGCGAGGATTGCTTGCGGAGATGTGATGTATAGATAGCCTGTGATCTATGAATGCGCGGCGCGATTGTGTTTTAATGTATATGATGCATGTAATGTATAATATTACTATTAGGTAATACGGCCAATTTGTACGTGGCACGCGTAGTGTATTGATGTGTACACGAGTATAGTTTACCTTTGCTGATAATTTCTTGAATTACAGATACAAGTTAAGTTCTACGGCAATGGAACTGAATTTCAAGTGTTTCCCGTATTTGATGGATAATTTATCAATATTATTATCATGAAGATTGAAGTGAGCTGATTGGAGCTTATACTTAAATTTATAGTAAATGTGAAATGGAAATCTAGCGTCCGCCAAAACGAAACAACGGGCGCAATTCTTGTTAATCTGAGAATTTGACCATTTTCGCCAGGAATACTCAAAAATGTCTCAAAAATTATTTTTGAATCTGAGAAATTCAGCATGGATTTCTCATTTATTCAAAAATTGTCCACTCAAAAATAGTGATACCAAATCATTCTTCATATCAGTGCAATGTGGTCCAAAAATACTCGAAATCAATTTTAGAGAATGAGTTTTTGCCTCTCCAGGAAACTTTCCTCAAAAATACTCAAGAATGAGAATTTTGCATTTTCGTCGGGACTATCAAAAATAGTCATGACCCCCCCCCCCCCCCCCCCCCCCCCCCCAAGCAGTTTATAATTTCATGGGCAATTTTTTTTCAAAGTTCTATGTTACATTCGATAACAATTTTTACTTTCTTGTATCTTCTGTTTGTGAAAGATTATGTTCTTCTATCATTACAAAGGTAATGATTTATTTCCATATTTCAATCCAAAATAATACAAATCTACTTTACAGAATGGAAGGCAACAACACGACAGTATTCCGGAGCCATATTCCTAACTTGTTCAGTACAGCATTCCAAATGGAGGATACCACTCAGGCGAACCACCTCCCTTCTGATGCCTCATTCTGGTTCCACCACCCCCTAACGACCCCTGAACAAGCAGTCCTGGTGACCTGGACCCTGGTAGTGGCTCTCATCGCGGTGACAGGTAACACCTTCATCCTGGTGTCCTCTATCAGGTACAACGCAATACGACTAGACCGGATATCTATAATCCTGATCAGGAATCTAGCTGCATCAGATCTGGTTTACGGTCTCTACATCATGACAACCCCCGTTCTCATCATCACACAGACAAATGTTTACGGAGATCTGGCTTGCTACATCCTCTCTACCCTCTCACATTTCTTAATGGGGACAAGCTGTATCTTCCTAAGTGCACTCATGGCCAGCAAGCTAAGCTCACTCATATTCCCGCTGCACTCCAACATGAGACGGTATCGGAGAGGGAGACATATCTCCTATGGTATCTGGATCCTGATGATGGTGTTTATAACCGTCACCCTAGCAGCAGCTCTGATTCCAGGAAACTTCACCGTAGTGTACTCCTCAGCCTCCTTCAAATGCTTCACAGAGTTCTACCAGAAAGGTCCCCTACGTATAGTCGCACCAATGGTGGCCATCATTTTCTTTCTAGTACCACTGCTGGTGATCCTGGTTACCACTGTCTGGATAATTTGTTACGTTGCTAAAGTTAGGGGTATTCACAGACAGGCTGTGATAACACTGATGGCAATCTCAGCAGCTTTTGTTCTATCCTATCTGCCAACAGGTGTGTTCTATCTCCTGGAGGAAGTGCTGGACGAGGACGCTAAATCAGCTTACTGGTTCAGTGCCTTGTTCCGGTTCTCGCTTCAGGCTGCTAACGTCAACTTTATGGTCAATCCTCTGATATACCTCCTGACTATTAAGAGTTTTGCTGGATACACGAAAATGCTGACGGGTAAATTCTCGGTGAAGTTTAATCGAAAGAGGCGGAGGATTGGACGCAGAGTCGTAACATTATTTTCAACGAGTTAAAAAGCTCAGTGAACGACATTTTAGACTTCAGTCTCTGTAACGAAGAGTGAGGAAATTAATTTTAATTCGATTTTAATGAAAAACAAAATAAACAAACTGATTTATCAATAGAATATAAACGTTCGCTAAGCTTTACATGTTCTTGTTTTAATGTTTTGCTACTTATGGCTACCTTCGCTCAAAATTTCAAAGTTATCACGGTTGTTTGATCTTCTTTGAATACATCGTCTTATTTGCAAAGAAGTAAGAACCCTTAACATTGACTTTTGAGGATGATGAGGTTGAGAGAAATATTTCTCACTTTTTAGAGATAAATCATTAGAAGCAACAATTTTAATTGGAAGAGATTAGCCAAAAATAGAAGCCCAAGAAGAGGTGATAATACAAAGTAAGCTGAAACATTAAGTTAGATACACCCTAAATATTATCTTAGAATAGGTAGGGTAGCCGGAGAAGACATTAAGAAAAGTTTAGCGAAAAAGGCTGTATCACAATTCACTTACAGGCAATAAGTATGAAGGTATGGTCAACATCGTTGCCTGAGTTTCTCAGTAAATTATCAAAATGTAACATTATTGACACAATTTGATAATTGAAAGCACTGTAAGATACCATTATCATGATTAAAATACGTACGTCAGAAGGGTAAAATAGTTCGTCTTCCTCTGTTGAACTGTTTTCTCCAGAGTGATTCTTGATGCTCTCGTGTGGCGAGCTGGGATAAATAATTATCAGTAGATTATTACAAGGAAAATGGCTCATTATAAATCAACAAGTAAACAGTTCTCTCTCCTGTGACGTCTGATGTTGGACGGGATGAGCTGATCGATCATCAGCATGCTCAATGTTATATTATGCCCACATTCCGAATGCGCGCGCCACGGCTGTTCTAGCGTGGATTCTAATCCGATAGGATTACGCCATTCCTGGTTGGACGACGTTCGCTGTCCTAGGGCGATCCGATCGCATTTCAGATCGTCGTCCGATCGCTCCTGATCGCTAGGCGCTCGGATTTTATTTTTGAGAGGCGATAGGATAAAAAAATCCGAGAGCCTAGCTCTAGGATTTTACGTTTCCGAGAGGTGTGCTCTCAGATTTATCATTTCCGGGAGATAAAATGCGTGTTGCGCGTTTCCGAACTCAAATAAAATTCCATCGAGATCGAAAACATGAAAAAAAATTTAAAATATTAACTTTTAGTATGTTTTCATTCTTCCGTAAAATTAATGAGAAAATATAGAGAAGCAAAATTCATCATCATTGGATACGGCCATACTCGGTTTAATACACCTCATCTCGTTCGATCTGGGAAGTTAGCAACTGCAGGCCGGGTTAGTACTTGGATGGGTGACCGCCTGGGAATTCCCGGTGCCGTATCCTTTTGTTATATTTCCGAAGAATTGTTTTACTGAACAGAAGAAATTGTGAATGGCTTTTTCAGAATTGCAGTTGTTATTAAGAATAGCATTTTATCCTTAGCAATATAGTCTATGTTCAAACGCAAGGAAATGTTTCCAAATGTCAGAATAACATGGCTTAGAATAGCTACAAAGTTTTGTCTGAAAGGGCTTTGTTGTTTCATTCTAAGATCTATCTGAAACATTCTTATCTGCTCTAAATTGATTAGAATATATTCTTAAGTTAACTTGAAGAGTACTACAAGGTATCCTGAAGTTAACTTGAAGAGTACTACAAGGTATCCTAGAGTTAACTCAAAAAGTACTACAAGTTATCCTGAAGTTAACTTGAAGAGTACTACAAGGTTATATCCTGAAGTTAACTTGAAGAGTACTACAAGGTATCCTGAACTTAACTTGAAGAGTACTACAAGGTATCCTGAAGTTAAGTTGAAGAGTACTACAAGGTAACCTGAAGTTAACTTGAAGAGTACTACAAAGTATCCTGGATTTAACTTGAAGAGTACTACTTAAGTTATCCTGAAGGTGACTTGAAGAGTACTACAAGGTATCCTAGAGTTAACTCAAAAGGTACTACAAGGTTATATCCTGAAGTTAACTTGAAGAGTACTACAAGGTATCCTGAAGTTAACTTGAAGGGTACTACAAGGTATCCTAGAGTTAACTTGAAGAGTACTACAAGGTATCCTAGAGTTAACTCAAAAAGTACTACAAGTTATCCTGAAGTTAACTTGAAGAGTACTACAAGGTATCCTGAAGTTAACTTGAAGAGTACTACAAGGTATCCTGAAGTTAACTTGAAGAGTACTACAAGTTATCCTGAAGGTGACTTGAAGAGTACTACAAGGTATCCTAGAGTTAACTCAAAAGGTACTACAAGGTTATATCCTGAAGTTAACTTGAAGAGTACTACAAGGTATTCTGAACTTAACTTGAAGAGTACTACAAGGTATCCTAGAGTTAACTCAAAAAGTACTACAAGGTTATATCCTGAAGTTAACTTGAAGAGTACTACAAGGTATCCTGAAGTTAACTTGAAGAGTACTACAAGGTAACCTGAAGTTAACTTGAAGAGTACTACAAGGTATCCTGAAGTTAACTTGAAGAGTACTACAAGGTATCCTAGAGTTAACTCAAAAAGTACTACAAGGTTATATCCTGAAGTTAACTTGAAGAGTACTACAAGGTATCCTGAACTTAACTTGAAGAGTACTACAAGGTATCCTGAAGTTAACTTGAAGAGTACTACAAGGTAACCTGAAGTTAACTTGAAGAGTACTAGCTATAAGGTATCTTGAAGTTAACTTGAAGAGTACTACAAAGTATCCTGGATTTAACTCATTTATTGAGGGCTTATGTCACTGAAGATGACGCCTTGCAACATGTTTGACGATAGCCTGTAGATTGATAGTTTGATCTCAGTATTCATAACAATAGAGAACTACAAGTTAGCTTCAAGTTATCATTTATCTACTTAATTTAACCTAAACAACCTCCATGTTGTTGTAACCTGCAGGCAACCGTGGATCAACTTAAGATAAAGCGATGATATGATCCTGAAGTTAACTGACAGAAAGCATGAAGTTTCAACCTACAGTTAGATATGCGTCGTATTCCAATTATATCGGTCCTGATATTTGAAAATTGATCGCCTCTCGGATTTGCTCTCGGATCCTATTGGATTTGAGTATCCTATCGGGTCCGAGAGCAAATCCTATCGGCACTCGGAATTGTTAAATCCTATCTCCGCTAGGATTAGCGCTCGGATCCGATAGGTTTTTAATTTCCTATCGGGTCCGAGAGCAAATCCTATCGCCTCTCGGAACTTACACATCCTATCGCCGCTCGGCGATAGGAATTCATCGGAGGTATCCTGGGGGGACTGGATCGGCGTTAGGATTGATAAAATCCGAGAGATCTCGGACGCGCTAGGATAAATCCTAGGGTAATCCTGTCTAATTAGAATCGCAGAAATCGACGTTCTGAACAGCCGTGGCGCGCAGTAATTAGGTTTTACGCGCTAAGATCTCTATATTTCGGAGAATGTATACTAGTACTTAAACAACCAGAAGACGTTTCCCTGAATTTTGTAGTGGATTTTGTAGTGGATTTTGCGCGCCGCACGTACTTAACAATATTTATCATTGTAGAATCTACGAGTCGTAGAGTCGTAGTACGACGGTAGCAGTCAGAAGTCTCAATAAACTGCTCGTACTTATACTTTTAAAGACACTTATAAGATATGAAAATCTAAGTAACACATCCACCCCACTCAGGCTGCCCATCCCAAATAGCTTGAAATCTGTGACAAATCCAGACTTTAAAATCTTTACCCCTGTAGTGCTTTTATGTTCCGGAGTAGGTGGGACATGTTTTAGTTTAAAAATGGGTTCTACCTGTCCCAAACCATCATAAAAATCAAGTTTCGACCTCTCAACCCACTCAGGCCACTCCCAGGGGCCACGCCCATCCCAAAATTACCGAAATCCAGCTAAAATCCAGACTTTAAAATCTTTACCCCTGAAGTGCTTTTATGTTCCGGGGTAGGTGGGACATGTTTTAGTTTAAAAATGAGTTCTACCTGTCCCAAACCATCATAAAAATCAAGTTTCGACCTCTCAACCCACTCAGGCCACTCCCAGGGGCCACGCCCATCCCAAAATTACCGAAATTCAGCTAAAATCCAGACTTTAAAATCTTTACCCCTGTAGTGCTTTTATGTTCCGGGGTAGGTGGGACATGTTTTAGTTTAAAAATGGGGTTCTACCTGTCCCAAACCATCATAAAAATCAAGTTTCGACCTCTCAACCCACTCACATCCACAATATTCCACAACCTCTCAACCCACTCACATCCACAACCTTCCGAATGTAGGTACGGACTTCAAAAAACCGAAAAATATATTTTCGGCTCAGAATGATCAGGGTAGCATGAAACATGAACAAAAGTAGTTTCCAGAAAAACTTTGAAAAACTTTGAAAAATTTTGACTTTTCGGTCCGAGTCATTCTTGATACGTACCTCTAAAAGCAGAGCTACTGCTTCCGAGCTCGTATTGCGAAGGGGAGGCCTGCCTTCCGAGATCGCATTACAAAGGGGACTCTTGAGTCCAAAATCGTATATCGAAAGGGTAGGTGCGGTCTTCGAAAACCGAAAAAAATATTTTTGGCTCATAATGATCAGGGTAGCATGAAACATGAATAAAAGTAGTTTCCAGAAAAACTTTTTTTAAATTTTGACTTAGAAAATTTTAAGTCCGAGTCATTCTCGATACGTACCTCTGAAAGCAGAGCTCCCGCTTCCGAGCTCGTATTGCGAACGGGAGGCCTGCCTTCCGAGATCGCATTACAAAGGGGACCCTCGAGTCCAAAATCGTATATCGAACTTCGAAAACCGAAAAAAATATTTTTGGCTCAGAATGATCAGGATAGCATGAAACATGAACAAAAGTAGTTTCCAGAAAACTTTGAAAAATTTTGACTTAGAAAATTTTAAGTCCGAGTCATTCTCGATACGTACCTCTGAAAGCAGAGCTCCCGCTTCCGAGCTCGTATTGCGAACGGGAGGCCTGCCTTCCGAGATCGCATTACAAAGGGGACCCTCGAGTCCAAAATCGTATATCGAACTTCGAAAACCGAAAAAAATATTTTTGGCTCAGAATGATCAGGATAGCATGAAACATGAACAAAAGTAGTTTCCAGAAAAACTTTGAAAAATTTTGACTTAGAAAATTTTCGGTCCGAGTCATTCTCGATACGTACCTCTGAAAGCAGAGCTCCCGCTTCCGAGCTCGTATTGCGAACGGGAGGCCTGCCTTCCGAGATCGCATTACAAAGGGGACCCTCGAGTCCAAAATCGTATATCGAACTTCGAAAACCGAAAAAAATATTTTTGGCTCAGAATGATCAGGATAGCATGAAACATGAACAAAAGTAGTTTCCAGGAAAACTTTGAAAAATTTTGACTTAGAAAATTTTCGGTCCGAGTCATTCTCGATACGTACCTCTAAAAGCAGAGCTACCGCTTCCGAGCTCGTATTGCGAACGGGAGGCCTGCCTTCCGAGATCGCATTACAAAGGGGACCCTCGAGTCCAAAATCGTATATCGAACTTCGAAAACCGAAATAAATATTTTTGGCTCAGAATGATCAGGATAGCATGAAACATGAACAAAAGTAGTTTCCAGAAAAACATTTTTTAAATTTTGACCTAGAAAATTTTAAGTCCGAGTCATTCTCGATACGTACCTCTGAAAGCAGAGCTCCCGCTTCCGAGCTCGTATTGCGAACGGGAGGCCTGCCTTCCGAGATCGCATTACAAAGGGGACCCTCGAGTCCAAAATCGTATATCGAACTTCGAAAACCGAAATAAATATTTTTGGCTCAGAATGATCAGGATAGCATGAA